GACAGTTAATTTTTTAAAAAATCTTTATATTTTAGTTGTAGTTGGACACGATACCTTTATTTTACTTATTTATTTTTATGTGGTGCTGAGGGTCAAACCCAGAGTCTCGCATGTGCTAGGTGAGCGCTCTACCACTGAGCCACAACCCCAGCCCCATGGCAGTTAATTTTGTATATCCAATTGATTGGGTGAAGGTGGCCAGTTGTTTGGTAAAACACCAGTCTAGATGTTAATGTGAAGGAACTTTTTAGATGTGATTACCATTTAAATAATAGGGTTTGAGTTAAGCAGTGTACTTTTCATAATATGAGTGGACCTCTTCTGTTCAGTTGAAGGTCTTCAGAGAAAAGATTAAGGTTCCCTATTGAAGGGACTGATAGTAAGTCTTCTAGGCTTTTAAGGACAAACCATCCTTGTYTCAACTATGTAGTGTTGCCACTGCAAAACAAAAGGGCTGCCTACATGAGTGAATGTGTTTTTGCTTAAACAAAACTTTATTTACAGAAACAGGTATGTGCCAGTTTTTTGTCACTGTGACCAAAATGGCACAAACAACTTAAAGAAGGAAAAGTTTATTTTGGCCCACAGTTTCAAAGGTTGCAGTCCATAATCAGGTCGTTGCAAAGCAGACACTTGGTGAAGGGTGTAGCTGAGGAAATCCCAGCTCTTGGCAACCAGGCTGCAGAATGAGGAAAGGGGCAGTGGATGAGAAATCCTCCTCCAGGGCATGTACATAACATGGCCTACCTCCTAGTTTTCACCATCTTCCAGTAACCCATTCAGCTATGGAAGGATTAATCCACTGGTGAATTTAGAGCCCTCATGATCTAATCATTTCCTGCAAAGCCCTACCTCTGAACACTACCACATTGCAAACCATGCCTTCCTTTCATGAGACTTCATACCCAAACCAAGATGGCTGACTGTATTTGGACCAAAGGCCGTAGTTTACTGACACCTGGAACAAAACGATTGCTTGGTAATTCAGGCTGAAGAGATAAGGTAGTAATATATTTAAATGATATTTTCAAGACAAATGGATCAAGTTTTCTCTGTATTTGGGATTTTTCACTTTGACAAATCCTACTCTTCAACTTTGGTTTTGCTTGTTTTATTTATTTATTTTTAATATTTTTTTTCTTAATTGTTGATCGATCTTATTTTATTTATTTATATGTGGGGCTGAGAGTTAAACCCAGTGCCTCACAAATGCCAGGCAAGTGCACTACCGCTGAGCCCCAGCCCCAGCCCTGCTTGTTTTATTTTTAAATCAAGATTCCTTAAAGAACAATTAGTGCTATTATAAAAACTATCACATTTATCAATTATAAATGGATGACTGACCATTTCAGCCTTTTCTCCAGTCCCCATTCTATTACTTAAAGGAATCATAGGAGGGGGGAGTTAGGGAGAAAGGGTTGCCCGAAAAAGAAGACCTGATAACCCAAACTCCTGGCCTTATAGTATCCATGACATTTCTCGATTCCAAAATGTTAATTCTTGGGCTGGGGAGGTAGCTCAGTGGTGGAGCACTTGCCTACCTCAAGATCCTGTTAGGCTCCCAGTACCAAAACAAAAAACAAACAAACAAAAGAAGTTAATTCTTTTAAAAAATTTATTTTTCTTTATTTATTGGCTCATTATAATTATATATAATGGTATAATCTGTTATAATATGTTCATATGTGGACACAATAAAACAGTATAATTTGATCAATTTCATTCCCCAGTACCATCCCTTTCCCCTCTTCCTTCCCCCTGATTGATGCCCTTCCTCTATTCTACTGGTCTCCCTTCTATTTTTTTTTTTTTAATTTTGTTCTAATTAGTTATATATGACAGTAGAATGCATTTTGACACACAGTACACAAATGGAGCACAACTTCTCATTCCTCTGGCTGTATATGGTGCAGAATTACACCAGTACTGTAATCATACATGTATATAGGGTAATAATGTCTGTCTCATTCTACGGTGCCTCCTATCCCTACAGCCCCACCCCTCCCCTTACTTCCCTCTGCACAATCCAAAGTTCCTTCATTCTTCCTTACCCCCAACCCCCACTATGGATCAGCATCGACTTATCAGAGAAAACATTCATTCGGCCTTCGTTTTTTGGGGGGGATTGGCTTATTTCACTTAGCATGATGTTCTCTAGTTTCAACCATTTACTTGCAAGTGCCATAACTTCCTTTTTCTTTCAGGCTGAGTAATAAAGTTGAGTAATTCTATGAAGTTAATAATGTAAATATACTGGATTAAAACTCAGAATTCACACAAAAAACTAATAGTTATTTTTGGAAGATCTGTCATAAATGTGTTCAATATTGCTGTTTAATTCTTTAATTTTATTTACACAATGTAAATAATCAAATTACAGTTGATTACATCAATATTTTTTCAAAAATGCATCTATATTTTCCATATAGTTTTTTATACATGTAAGAAAAATATTTGAGTCTACAAAGCAATCTGTTCTTAATTAGCCATTTACAAATATTTGTGATTTGTCACTAGAAAATGACGTTATATTTTCTGATTCATCTCATGTTTTTACACAATGAGAAAGGATATTTTGAAATTTGACAACTCTGCCATTAAACTGAAAATTACAAGGTGAATCACTGACATACTAATTAAATAAACATGATTGGGAGAACATTCATGTCCTAAGAATGAAAACAAAACCCTAGTAGGCTTCATATATCTGTTAATGAAATAATTTGAAAATTTTGATACTCTTATTTAGTCAATGATAAGTCATAAAATTTTGCTAGTATTTGTTAAATCATTTGAAAACAGTTACATATAACTTTACTTATAACATATTTACAGATATGAGATAATTTTCCAAGATATATAAAAGTCTCTCAAAAGTAAAGTAAACCAATAAGAAAGACAGAATTCACTTAGAAGAGATTGGAAAAAACAATAGTATTTTAAAAATAGTGCTGAACTTTACTAGTAATGAGGGAAACAAATACTAAAACAGAAGGATTTTCATTTTGGCCTGTGATATTGACAAAAATTAAAAACTTATGGTTATAGGAAATTGGATAGGTTCATCTTGGTGAGTGAAATCAGATGTAGCCTTTTTGGACTTCTAAATCTCATTCTACAAGTGACATCAGAATTATTTACTCTAATATGTGTCCAAGTATGACTTGATTAATCATAAAAAAATATAGAGCATCTATGGATTTTGAAATACATTTAGGGAAAAACAAGCCATAAATGGCAAAAATAACTTCTAAAAATATGTCTTTGAATGTATTTCCAACTATGGAGTTGGGTTCTGGGTCAAAAAGATGATTAACTCATTAACTGTATTTGTTTTCTTAAATGTCATTTTCTTTTACTGTTTTCTGTTCTGACAGCTAGAGGCACGGGATAGCAAATGCATTTTCTTTAAAGCAGCAACACCAATGGCATGGTCATTTAAGGGTCATATACATAAGTGCACAAATGGAGTCAAATCGCTTTTCCATTTCCTTAGATGAGGCCCTCTGAAGGACAAGAAGTTTTGATGAAGAGTTGTATGTAGTCAATTTCGGAGCAACAGCAAAGACCAGCAAGGCAGTGCCTAGAGAGAAATGCGTAGACGCGGTGAAGGTTCAGACGCAGGAAACAGCCCAGCTGGAGTCTTTYTTATGCCTTCAGCCTCACCACTTTAGAGTCTATGAAAAAGTAAACTTATGAAACAGGTTCTTGGTCAGTCATAGGTCACAGTGCTGCCTGTCAGGCCCATTCTGAAGAGCAGGTGCTATACATTTCAAAGTTGGTAGAAGACCTGAAAATGACTTATTATTTGGGCTAAAAGAAAACATCTAAGGGGGAAACAGTAACTTTTAAAATATTCGAAGTTCTATCATTTAGATTTTTTTTATTGCTACAGACTGGAAGCCTAGATGTCACAGGTAGAAGCCACAAGAAGCAATTTTTATCATCCTGTAAGGATGAATTTTCTTATTCTGAGAGCAATCCAGTAATAGATTGGGCTGCTCTCCAAAGCTGTGGGCCCCTGCTGGCTCTAGAAATGCCTGAATTGACATTCAATAGCTTGTTTGAGAAAGCGGTTGGTTGGATGAGGTAGTCCTAAAAACCTCTCACATTACCCTGATTCTAGCACTTCTGAAGGCAGTGATACTTCATTCCAGAGCTAAGAACTGGAGTCCTGTACCCCTTTAAAAAAAACAAGTAGGAACAAAAATACATGAAATCAAACTTTCCTCTGGTATAACTGAGATAGGCCAAACTCCACCCCCAACACCCTCCGAGAAACCCACTTTGTAACAGACACAGGAAGACTACATGGATAGCAAAACAAATAGACAATACACAAAGTGAGAAAATGGTCTGGATTATTAAATTCAATTTCTTGTCCCAGCTTGTTTCTGCTCCTTTGGCTCCTATCTTAATCCATTCGCTACCTTCACATATTTACAGTGGCCCCTGAGGGAGGGCTGTTTCCCCTCACTGCCTGGGCTCCTCTTTGTACAGCAGGGAGCAGTCAGACCCCTTGGGGTGAGAATTTGAACTGTTGGAAATATGAAGAGTATGTGCCCTGGAAGCAGCATTTTATTCTTTGTTGAGAGCTAGCCAGGTGGTGGCCGGTTGATAAAAAGCAATAAATGTCTCTGGAATGTAATGATATGGTAAACCCTGYTTTTATCTGAACCCTGTGGTTGAAGCGAAACCAATAAGCCAACAGACACATGACTGAGACCCAAAGGGCACACTTGATGAATGCTGCTTTGCTGCACRGGAGCCAGAGTTGAAGTGCACAATAAAGGCATGGCTGCCAGTCTTTCTTCCCCACCCTCACTCCACATAGTGCTTACCTTTCCTCTAAGTAAAGTTGAACAAATATTTAAAGAATGTAGGTTCAGAGGGAAGCCAAATGATTAACCTATGTAAATGCCTTATATCTCTTTTCGACTGTACGCTTGCCATGAGCTTCATGTAACCTATGACCTATCTTTTGTTTTCTATTTCCATAGTGTCCATGGAAAACATTGGCGAACAAGGTAAAATATATTATGCTCTTTTTACCAGTATACCTTTTTAAGTTTGGAAAAAAAATGAATTGTATCCATTTAGATTGGGTTGCAATTAAAAATGACTCTTTGAGAAATGAAAAGAAGATATCTCATTTCTCTAAATTCCTAAACTGAATTCTGTCAGATATTTGGCAAAGAATTTGCCTGAGAAAATCAACTGAAAGAAGGAAAGATTTATTTTGGCTCATGGTTTCAGAGGTTTCAAGTCCTTGGTGGGTGAGCTGCCTCCATTGTTTTAAGCTTGTGGTGAAGGCAGAACATGACCCTGGGAAGAACTCCTCAGAACAAAGCTGCTCACCTCATGGCTACCAGGAGGTGKGGGGGAGGGACCAGGGACAAAATACACACTTCAAAGACACCCCCCCAGAGGCCTACTTCCTCCAACAACTTAGCCCCATCTCCTGAAGTTTCCACCACATCCAATAGCTCATTAAGCTAAGAATTTATCATGGATTAATCCACTGATGAGTCAGAGCCCTCACAATCCATTCATCTCCCTCAGGGCACATCTCTGAACACTGCTGTATAGGAGATCAAGCTTTCAACATATGAGCTTTTTGGGCRTTGGGGGGGACACTTTGGATCTAAACCATAACAGAACTCAAGCCCCAAATGGCAGTAATTGTGCCTAAAATTCTTGTGACTCTCAGGTACAAGGATATCAATAGTCTATGTCCCAACTCACACTATTACCTAATAACTGAGTCATCTCCGTAATTTATGAAAACTACCATTGGCTGTCGTCATCTCACACCTATTGGAGATATTCAAATTATTATTGCCTTATTGGATAATTGAAATTTTTAATGATTCTATAAATATGAATGCCATCATTATTTAGAAAAATTAAAAAGTCCTATAGGTAGAAAGGGGAAGAATAGATATTCGGTAGATTAGACAAAAGGGAATGAAGGGAAGTGGGGGGTAGGAAAAGGAAAGACAGTGGATTGAATCTGAAATAATTTTCTTATGTACTTATATGAATACACCATAGTGAATTCCACCATCCTGTACACCCATAAGAACGGGGTCCTAATTAAAATAAGATATATTTCATTCTTGTACAGTTATATCAGAATTAATTCTGTTGTCATGTATAACTAAAAAGAGCAAAAAATAAAAATTTTAAAAATGMTTTATCTTCACCAAAAAAGGCTTAAAATACTAAACATATTTTATTCAACTATATCTCACAGAATTGTGTATTAATGTATTATTCAGAGTGGATTATTATCACTGCATACAAAATTAGTATTTTTAAGTTTGTATAGTATTCCAAGACTTTAAAACACCACACAAAGTATATTTATATATTACCTTAAAGAAAACATTCAAAATGCTTTTTTTGTAATGATTGTCCCATGTGATAAAGCACTTGCATTTCCACTGAAGGAAATCTCTTTTTGTCTAAGTGGACAAGGAGAAGCACCTCTTTGGCCTGTTTACACATGTTKTCATTAGTGAGGGCCACCAGCATAGACAGGAGCAGAATAAATGAGCAGACAGCTTCTCAGGAATGGCATTTGCTGTCTCTCTCAATAAAGCAATGTTTTTAAATATCTGACATTTGTTTAATGCTGTGTTTATTCTTTAAGGTTGCAGGCATAACTGCCTAATTTTTATAGTTTAAAAGGGTCCCTTTAGCCATTTTACAAATAGATACATGCCTATTTGCAGATGAGAACATTCAATTCATGGATGTAGATATACTTATGCATTTAGGAGTCTTTTTAGAAATAATCTTGGCATTAAGTTTATATTTAAAAAGTACTTATTCTAGTATGATGAAAATGAATTTTTATGATTTATCATAATTAGTAACTTGGCTGTTTTAGAACAAGCAGATCTTTTGTGAGTATCATGGTTTGAGTATGTATTTGCATATCACAATGATAATTATGTTTCTCTCATTTTAGTTGTGTGCCTGATGGCTTATCATCTACTTTTTGCAATGTTTGTTTGGTCGTACTGGAAAACTATCTTTACATTACCAATGAATCCTTCAAAAGAAGTAAGTTTAACAGTTATCCTAAAGAGAGAAATCAGTARTACTGATATCTGAAAAATAAATTTTCTTCATTTCACTAGTGTTACAGATTTAAAGGGCATAGTGATTTTTTTTAGTTTTTAAAAAATGCTATGTTAATAAATACTTGAATTTTCACTTGRTAAAGATTACCTTTGTACCAGATGGTTATTGTATTTCCAGTATTAACTTTRCTATGCATTCCATTCCTACGTTAGAGTCAAATATCAAATGRGTGGWTGGATGGATAGATAGAGCTGGCAGGTAGACAGAATTCTATTATAATTGCCATACTAAAGATGTATTAGTKGGCTTTCAGCTACCAGAAACAACAACAAATGGCTTAACTTACCTTCTCRACAGCCAAAAAAATCTATAGCTAGGGCTGGGGTTGTGGCTCAGTGGTACAGSACTTGCCTGGCATGTATAAGGCCCTGGGTTCGATCCTTAGCACCACATATAAATAAATAAAAGATCCATTGACAACTAAAAAATATTTTTTAAAAAAATCTAAAGCTAGTCCACAGCTTCCAGTATGTAGGCTTTATCTACCTTATTGTTCTATCATGTGTAGTTTCTGTTTTCAAGGCCTCCTCTTGGTCTAAGAGGATAGCTGAAGTTATAGCTATCATGTCTACATTTCTAGCCAGCAGACCAGAGGAAGTAGGAAAGAYGAGGAGAAGTAAATGCCCTTTCCTTTAAAAATACTTTCTAGAAGTTACTGATATCACTTCCAATTCGATTTAGAACTTAGTTATATGGTCACACTTTCCTAAATGGATGGGAGTTTAGTCTTTATTCTCAATGCTCATGTTAACCTCTACAGAAGAAGGTAAGACTTGATTTTTGGAGAACAGCTTACAATCTATGCTATAGAAAGGTTTAAGTAGAATGATATGATTAAATTAAATTTGCATATATACTTTTTTTTTTGAAAAGTTTGTTCTATTTGTTCCCAGATCTTTTATCTGGTTCTTGGATCAAAGGTTGAAATCTTACAGATTTGTATATTTTTGGCACTTAACCCAGTACATGTTTGTTGAATTCTTAAAAAAAAAAAAAGTTGAAACATTAGCAAGGTTGTCCTAAAGATAAGAAATCACTTAGTCCTCTAYATGTTTATTGAATCGAAATGAACTTTGTTATAACAGTGTAGTTCTAGTAGGCCAAGTTAAAAGAAGGGAAAGGAAAAAAAAAGAAAGAGATCACTTCAGATGGTTTCCTGAAGTCATCAGTTTGAAATGTAGCTGTGGTCATACAGGCCTATAAATATGCTATCAGACCAGAAAAGAAAATCAAAAACAAAACTCACAGTTATGTGCATACAATTAATGGCATGACTGGACTAGAATGCTTTTATATATTGCCTTTTCTTCTTCTACTCTCCACTTCTTTTCCTTTCCCTGCCTCTTTTTCCCTTTCATACAGTATTTAGTTCTTTCCCATTGTTTATGTTCCCCGCATCCTGGCCTTAGCTGTAGGTTTGAAGAAAAATGCCGACTTCTATCATAAGTAGCCTCATCCACTTTGGAGGTTTGTCTACAACCTCTTTACTGATAACTCCCAAATCTCTTTTTGAACTCTCCTCTGAGTTTCAAACTTTAGGATCTCCCTGCCAAACACAGCTCCTTGATCCATCAGCCACAGAACACACAAGTCATCACCTTCTCCTTCTTTAAGCCACGGCTCATCTGTTTTTCTCTCAGTTAATACCATTGCTATCTACAGGGTCCTTCAGCCAGAAGCTTGGCAGAGCCATATCCAAATTCTCCATCTTCCCAACCCTCCCTCAGCACCCAAGTCCTCCTGATATCCCCTCTGCCTTTTTTAAAAAAAATTTCTCTCTCTCTCTCTCTCTCTCTCTCTCTCTCTCTCTCTCTCTTTTTCCTCTATCATTGCCCTAATTCAGGCTGTCAATCATCTCCCTTGTCTAAGACATATGGTCTCCATGTGATACTGTTTCAGTTTTACCTACATTCCCTTCCCGAACTCTGCACAATGTATCTTCCACACTAAAGCTGGAGGGTTCCATATGAAAAGAAATTTAACATTTTGTACTGCTTGAGTCTGTTCTATGACTGTCCACATAATTTGGGGGTGGGGGTTGGGGCATGCAGTCTCCCTTGCTTAGCAGCAAAGATGCTTCTCTTTTTCTGGCTTCTTACTCTATACTCTTGTCTTAACTTCATGTAGTTCCCTGTGTACACCACAGCAGTATTTTATGTCTAAAATATTCTTACYCCCCCTCCCCYTTTTTTTGCATAAAGAGTKCATGTTTTCACCAATACTAGCAGTTCCTTCTCAGTCTCCTTTGCTCATTATCTCTTGGACCTCTAGAGCATTGAATCATTTCAGAACTCAATTTCTGAAACTCTTTTCCTATATATCCACATTTATTCCATTAACAATTTATTTTAATTTTGTGAGTTTCCCATTGTTATGGCTCTCAATTCATTACATTAATGCCTGGTCCTTTTTTCTAAACTCCAGAGTCATTGACAGCTACCTATTTGATAGCTGATAAAATTTCACATTCAACATAACTGAAACCAAACTCCCTGTTTCCACCTCATTTCCCAGTCCTCCTATTTCTGAAGTTTTCCCATCTCAGTAATGACAAATTCATCTTCCAGTTGCTAAGGCCAAAAATCTTAGAATCATCCTTGACTTTTTTCTTTGTCTCTGAGATCATATYATTCTTCTGTTCACAACTTCCCTGTGATGACTCACCTTGCTCAGAGTAACAAAATCTAGTTCCCCATTGTGACCTAAAAGGCTTTCTGTGGTCTGTCCCACATCACCTCTTTGACCTACTCTTCCATATTCAGTGCTATTCCAGCCACATGGGCTTTCATGCTAGGCATGTCCCTCCTTTACCAGCCTTGGAACCTATTTCCTCTTGACTTGGAATACTCTTCCCACATGAAATTGTGTAGCCAACGCCTTCACTTTCTTCATGCCTTAACTCTAATAGTATCCTTATCATTGAGGGTTTCCATGATTATTCAATGTAAAAATAGCAAATTTCCTGTCCCTGAAATTTCCTACACCTACCTAGCTATATTTGTATCCATAGCATTTACCCCTTTATATTCTATTCCTTTATTGTTTTTTTGTACCATCACTAGAATGTAAGCCCTACAAGGGCATGAACTTCCCTACCCCATCTTCACTACCCCATCTTCACTACCCCATCACCTAGGCCTACAGCAATGTCTGACCTATAAAAGATGTTCAAAGTGATTGAAAGAAAGTAGGGGGAAAGTTAGTATATAAATGTACACTTATGTTTATAGCTTTGACAGGAAGTTGAGGTGACTTCTAATTTCTCCCTAAAATTATATGTGAGATTATCAGCTAAAAAAAGGGGAGAGATGGGGTTGTACTCAGTAGTAGAGCACTTGTCTCCAATGCATGAGGCCCTGGGTACGATCCTCAGCACCACATAAAAAATAGTAAATAAATAAAATAAAGATATTTTAAAAATGAAAAAGGGGTGGGTTGACTGAGGTTAGGGGTACACGTAAGATTTGAAAAGGTAGTTGGAAAGAGTGGAAAAGTGAAATGATACAGAAATGCTGTATTTATCATTTCARTAAATTTATCATTTAAATAAATAGAATTATCATTTCAATAAATCTCTTTATTGAAAGAACAATCAAAATTGATGACAGTGAATTCATAACTCTACCAGACATCATTGGGAAATTTGTTTTCCTACAAAAGATATATACCTTATTCAGTTCAGACAACTGTATGCGGTAGATATTATTTGTTACCATTTTACAGATGGAGCCATTGGCTGCAATCATTAATATTCTGAAGGCATCTAGTGCTAAAATGTGTGGCAGAGCTAAGATTCAAATCAAGGTTCTTTTGGCTATTAAGGCCACACTGTTTTCTCTCCACTGTGCTCTGACATGTTCTTTTTTTGTTGGTGTGACCAAAAGACCTGATAAGAGGCAACTTATACAAAGAAAAGTTTTGGGGGGGCCCATAGTTTCAGAGGTTTGGTCCAAAGTTGGCCACTCCATTGCCTTGAGTTTGAGATGAAGCAGAACATCATGGTGGAAGGGTGTAGTAGAAGAAAGCCGAGTTTATGGCAGCGAGGAAATAGAGCAAGGAGCCAGAGACAAAATACAATTCCTAAGGGTATGGCACAGTGATCTGCCTCCTCCAGCCATACCYCATTAACCTACAGTTACCACCCAGTAGTCCATTCAAATTATTAATCTATCAAATGTATTCATCTAGTGATGAAGTTACAGTTCTCATAATCTAATCATTTCACCTCTGATTATTCCCGCATGAGCTTTTCACTGAATACCTCGTATCCAAGCAATAACATTTGGTATGGAAAGTAGATATCAAAGTGGCATGGGTGTGCCCAGGACATCAACTGAAGCATTGGGAAAAAATAGAGAAATTTCTGCTTATATGTTATTGTTTCTATTTTTTTAAGTTTTCTTTTTAAGTTTTCTTTTTTTTCTTTAATATATTCTTGGCAGTACATGTATTAAGAAAGAAATACTCACATATTAGCAGTGAAATCTCATATTATTTCTTATGGATAGGAATACATGGTCAAAAAATTTTGGAGACTACGGTTTGAAAGAAAAGAGCCTATGTTAGGTGGTGAATATTCTTGGATTATTCCATTAAAATACAATGCCTTTTAATTTATCAGCAGTTGGAGATCCCTCACTTGTAAAACGAGGGTCCTGGACTGTAATTGACCAATAAAGTACTCTCACATGATAAAATTTTTTTGAAAAGTTGCACCAAAAATGTAGGAGAAGAGGTAATATAAGAAAATAATGTTAATATTTTCTTGTGATTGTACAGAGGATGTAAGAAATCTGAAACATCTGAATCAAAATTTCCTTTTTCATAGCAAGATTGTTAAGTTGACCATAGTTTTTTCTCTCATAAGATTTTCTCCCARTATAACCATACTAAATTATATTTTGAAATTGGAAACTAGG